GTAAAAGGCTAAAAAGCACACAAAAAGTTCTCGAAAAATTAGGAAATGATATAAAAAGCAAATTTCGTAGCGATTGCGTACCAGCAGTTTTACAGCACAGTTATAAAGAGCAGTATGGCTATTCAGCTTTCGGCTATCAATCAAGGTGGCCCGAAATGGAAGGCACAAAACAACCATCAGCTGAGTGGGCAATGCAGTTATTACTGATAAAACAATTATGCACATCTGGTGTTTAATTACCTGTACATTTTATTACTTTAAGAACATATTTTACGAACATACTAACAAACCTAAAGCGAGAAATAAAGCTTTTGCCAACAACTTGAAGGAAACCTGCAATCAGAAAAAAAAAATGAGCCTTAAAATGCATTTCTCCAGCTCACAAGTTCCAGACGGATAAAGATCAGTATTCAGTCTGATAAGATATATGACAGTGAGGATTTTTTCCGACTTTGTTCTTTGTGAATGGCTTTTCGTTGCCATCACCCTCACTTTCTAAGATTTTTGACAAAAATTATGAAAATCAACAAAAAATCAAACAGCGAGCTAAGGGTTTCGTAAAATTTGTGCTTTCTAGCGGTGCATGCAGGTTTTGCAAACTCACAACCAAAATTTATTGGTCTAGCAAGAGAAAGTAGCTGGGGACGGGGAGACGGGAAAAAGAAAAAAAGGGCACATAAAGTGAACTGTAAAAACAAAAGATAAAAGTGACCTTGCACAAAAAATGATACGATCTTTATAATAAATAAAAAATAAATGGAGAGTAACGATATGCAAACGAAGGAACGAAAATGCTGCTTGCCGTGATAAATGCGTAGATCTACTGCAGCAGAATCGCAATTTAGGAAATCTATTTCAAAGCATGGAATTCGTGCAAGAAAAGCTTTGAATTTATAGGTTCACTGAGAGTAACTGAAAAATTTGGTTTCGTTTGTTCAACCAAAAACTACCCATTATTTAGCGGTAAGCTCGCACAGAGAAAGCTGTCAATCTTCGAGCAGAAATGCCCTTTCGAAAAGCTAGAAATCAAGTTTGAAGCAGCACACTGGCTCAAGCATAACGAGATCCATTAGGTAAAAAACAAATGAATGCAATTAGGTGGGACTGAGAAATACACCGGGCTGATCGCAATGAGAAGTTGCCGGCGCCGCTAATGCCGCTGGAGCAACTATTTGGGCTACCAAGAAGGCACGTCAAAATGCTATAACAATACAGGCATTTTGTTGGAAACATTTTAAGCGAGCGACTCCAAATACAAAGAGCCGATTGAATAAACCTTCGCGCATATGTCAGTGCGAAAGTACCACATTCATACTGCAGTTTTTTTTATAAAAAAACAAGGGAAAATGAGAAGTCATGCAAAAGGTAACTACAGCGTCCATTGCTTGTGAAACTCATGCGGAGCGCGTAAGAACCAATAGTACCAACTCGGTGCCTCCTTGCAAAAATGGGTCAAATGATAGAGTTTCCCACATACCTCGGGAATGCACTCACTGCAGAAACAACGCTACCTGTTCTCATGTGATTATCTACTGTTTGCCCCACAAGTGATGAACGATGCCGTCGTACAAAATCATTTGTTGGCGCTAAAAATGCAGCTCCGTGTTTAACTGACTGCTCAGAGCTTTTAGCATAATTGTAGCGACAGGATCAGAAGAAACCTTTACAGATTAGTTTGTATATCTGTTGTCTGCTGACTGTCTAGTGGTCGTCGTCTTCTACTGTCACCGGCAATTGCCCGAGGACTGAACGTACCAGAATCTAAGTCGTGGTCCGTTTGCTGTATCGCTATTTCTTGTGCTGATTGTTCATCATCAATTTCCTCGTAATAATCATCACCATCTTGTGATGTTAAAGAAGGCAACGGCAAGCGCGCAATATCACAACGTTTCGCATACCGTAACTCTGCCTGAAAAGCTTAAGATGCTCAACTGATCTGCCACTGATTACTGTTCGTCGACTGAGATTCTTCTGTGACATCATATGCATGTGTGCGTGTCCGTCCGTGTAGAGAGAACAAGTTCTTGTCGAGTGAACAGAGCAATGGAACTGAACTGAGTTTAGGACAGAAGTACGACTTTCTCGGCAAGTAATGATAGGGTATTGGATGTAAGCGAACAAATGCACAGACCTTATCAAAACAATGAGCATGGGTTGCTTCCTGTTTTGACAGCGGCAACCTCAGATTAACAGTAGGCTCAACTGCATATCGCTCACTGTAGCTAAGATCGTCACAAGGCGGACTGAGCGACAACTTCTTCCTGGCAGGAATCTGCAAGCAATCGCGATTCATTCATAATGTCCTAAATTTTGCCATCAAAAGCGATGAGGAATCGTTAACTTTTCGCTACTTCTCATATATTGCACCGCTAATTTCGAGCTCTAATACTCTATGCTAATTGCACTGAGCAATCTGGTCTAAGCGTTTTGGATGGAGAAATGAATGGGTGTGGGAAGAAGTCACTGATGAGGACGAAACCCACGGCTGTTTTTATCATAACCGCACAGTGGTCAATCTGAAATTCTGAGAATGCATGACTTGATTAAATGCACATAATAATGGAATTTGAAATATAACACGACAGTGTAACTGGACCTTGTCCTTCAGATTTGCTATTCTCCTCCTATACGATTAAAAACATCTGCGAAAATGATGAACAGATAAAGTCTGCTCTAAGTCAATACTATCAAGGCCAAATAGTTAGCAGCCAAACTGAGATGCTTCTACACGTGGGGTGCAGCCATGCCAAGCCCTTCTGCTCTCAATTAGCATCCGCTGCTATTTTATGCATTTGCAGAAAACAAGTGCAAATCAAGTTAAGAATTTCAGTCTGATTTTCAAAGATGCATCAAACCGTTTGAGTTTTGATTGTTCTGTCGCATTCGAAGTAGCTGATCTCGGCATTTCGGCCGGCACAAGCAGAGAGGCATGGCTTTTGTTCGGAATATTTCGTCAGTCGTCTTGCGTTGAAATCGTTCTGCAGGCATGGATCCAGTGGTGCAGCTTTTTTTGCTATTTTTTGCCGATAGTAGACAATGGCGACCAGTACCAATGCTAACATGGAACATGACGACAGCAGTACGAGTAAAAAATCACGGAAATTCGAATCTCTTTTCGCATCCTGCAAATGCACGAATAAAGAGGAGGCGAGTTCAACAAGCCTCATTCAACTACATTATTACTGCTGCTGCTCCGAACAATCAGCTTGCCAGCCGTACCTACAGAGCAGCACACGCTCACCTGATGCTCATTTCCCGCTTTCACCATGAAAGTGCCAGTACGGTTATAACGCTGAGCTGATCTGCATCGCGAGTCAATCTCTGAACAACTGTCGCCGTAGAAACATGGCGTACATAAACAGCGGAAGCCGTGTAATGTGTCGATGCATGTACCACCATTCCTAAACTAACAAATACAATTTTTAAATTTCAGGAGGGAAGCAATAGTGAGAGGCTGTGTTTCTGGAAAATCAGGAATTCGTGCTTGACTGATAGGATGCAAATTCAAAGCAACAAAAGCCCAGAAATCTAGCAACTCAAGCAGTCGTAGATGCAGTCCTATTTGTTCAGAAATGAACCTCTAAGGACCAGAGATTGCGCCTTTACACAGGAAAATACAGAGACCGCTCGAATAATCGGTGTAAGTGTCCCATGCAAGTGATGATAGTAGGAATGCTACCACAATCAGCGCAGCTATTCCAGCCATTTTAGTCTAAGCTGCATACCAACGGAAAGTGCCCAGTACATGTCTGATGTATGTGCATCCTCTTCAGAAGCCGTCCGATTTGTCATTTACTTTCTTGAGGGCT